CTGGAATAAACACAAAGGTAAGTGACATTTTACTTGAATTAGGTTAAAGGATCTCTGTTAGAACACACTAGATGAAGCAGGTGTCCTTCAAACAACTAGATTTATGAAACTTTATCGAAGTATTTGGGACATTATCTCATGAAAACTTTACAAAATGTCTTTGGCACTTTGAACACAACGAGGGCGGCTGTGGCTCAGGTGGTAGAGGCGGGTTGTCGATCCCTGCCACCTCCACAGTGGAAGTGTCCTTGGGCAAGACGCTGAACCCCAAGTTGCTCCCAATGGCACCTTGCAAGGCAGCTCTCTGTGTGTGAATGTATGTGTGAATGGGTGAATGAGAAACATTGTAAAGCGCTTTGAGTGCCGCAAAGGTAGAAAGGCGCTATATAAGTGCAGACCATTTAACAAACTACATTTAATTCAACTCCAGCTACAAACTTTTGGAAATGATTTCTAGCTTTCTACCTCTAGAATAGAATAGAATGCCTTTATTGTCACTATACACATGTACAATGAGATTAAGAGCAGTTCCTTCAGTGCCACATAGAATAAAGAACAAAATAAAGAGCAAAAAAATACAAAATAGAAGAGATTTAAGTATAAAATAAGATAAGTTATATATACAGTATAAGTTATATGTACAGTATGAATTTAGAAAAATGTTGCACATCATGGTCAGAGGTGATATTGCACATTTGTAGAGTTCACAGTAGGTGGATGTGAGGTAGATTGGGGGGAGGACTGGGGTGGACTGTGATGTCAGTGCATGTGTGAGTTCAGAGTGGTGATGGCTTTTGGGAAGAAGCTGTTCTTGAGTCTGTTTGTTTTGGTTCTGATGCACCTGTAGCGCCTCCCTGAGGGCAGCAGGTCAAACATGTCAGAAACAGGGTGGGAGTTGTCCTTGATGATGTTTTTTGCTCTACTGAGGCAGCGGGAGGTGTAGATGTCCATCAGGGAGGGGAGAGGGCAGCCGATGATCTTCTGGGCTGCCTTTACAACTCTCTGAAGCCTCTCCTATTGAGCCTAACTTGCTCTTACTTAAGCTGTATTACAGTTGTGCTGTAATGGGTGACTTTCACTTTCAGGCTTTTCCAGAGAGCAGAAAAGGATCTTTGAGAAAGAAGACATCGTGAAAAAACAGAAAAGAAAAGATCTATGAAGTCATTTGATCTTTCTGCCTTTTCGGAGGCTACAGCCAAAGCAGCAGATGGAGAACCGTTCCAACTCTTGGTCACTATGGTCATTGTAATAGTGTTCGCCAAGTGTGATGCTCTCCAGAACCGGAGCGAGCAGGACTGGGTCGCTCACGTCAAACGCCTGGTTGACCAGGTGATGGAGGAACTCACGATTCCTGGAAACCTCTGCCGAAATGTAAAGAAGATAAAAAAGATCTGCAAAAAGGTGGTGAAAGAGCTGCAGAAGGAGTTCTGCGACAGGGAAAACCTGAAGAAACTTATCGAGGAACGGGACCCAGCTGTGGACGAAGCCATCGTCGAGAGTGTGGCAAGTCACATCTTAGTGCAATCACATATATCCTCCCTCCGTCCTGTCTGGAAAGGAGTGCTGTGGGCTGTTGCTGTTGCTGCAGCTATTCTGGTGGTCATCACATGGCAACATTTGAAAAGCCGCACGTAAGCAGCTGCAGCAGGACGTTTAGGGTTGAACTGATCTGAGTCCTGCTGCTGTGTTGTGTGAGGTTCTACCTACAGGAAGTGTGACTGCATGTTTAATGTCAGAGAAAAGGTCAGCTGTGATAGTTCATATTTAGGTGTCTGAAATAAGTCTCATTGAACAAAACTGTAAAAGATTAAAGTTTTACCTTGTTTTTTATTTTGAAGAATTTACTGATATTTTAAAGATTTTCTTTGTTTTGTCTTATTACAGATAATATCTAATACAATGACAACATTTGACTGTGCAATACTTTTTCTTTCTACTGTATTTAAATTCACAAAATATATAAGTGCCTGTCCTTATTTGAAAGAGAAATAAAGTATATTATTGACTAGAAAATAGCTTTTCAACCGTTATTTTCTAATAAAAAAACCCTTGAACATCCATCCATCCATTATCTATACACCGTAGTGATATCTAGCAAAATCATACATATTTTAAGATTTTTTTAAACTGCATTTTACAGGGTTTGCTGTGTGGCTTCATAAAGAAAAACTATAGGGGAATTATTGGGGTAAAACTATTCGTAAATGTGTTTGGAGAGTTGTGTGCAAGTCTTTTACAAACCTTTTTACACATTCATAGATCTCGATACAGACACACAGCTCTGCATATACATTTACAAATAGTTTTGTCACAATAATTCCCCCCAAAAACCCTGTTTCAAAGTCGTGTCTGATGTTAATAAAGCTACCAGAGCTGTGTTGTAGTTCCGGTCAAAGGGACTCTTATTGTGAACTTACCGGAAGTGTGATGGTCTCATTCGGTCCAGCTTGACGGTGGGGTGAAGATGGCGGCGTACAGTCGCTCTCCGCTGCTGCTGCTGCTCTTCTCCTCCGTGTTTCTCTGCGGCTTCGGCTCCGTCTTCGGCCTGAAGGCTGCCAGCGGCCCGGCCGAGCCGCCCAACCCGCCCGTCCACAGGGCCGCCGATCCCGCGGTCAAGGATGCACCTGCCGCCGCCGCCGGGGCCTCGCAGCCTCGAAGGGCGACCGGCTGGAAGCTGTCGGAGGAGGAGGCCTGCCGGGAGGACCTGACCCGCCTCTGTCCCAAGCACACCTGGACCAACAACCTGGCCGTGCTGGAGTGCCTGCAGGACCGCAGAGAGGTGAGGACCGGCAGGGTTCATGGGGGGGAGGTGAGGGGTCCGCTGGGTGTGTCGCCCCGGAGCTCCGGAGGCTCACCGGCGGAGGTTGTGGTGCTGATGCGGAGCCGAACCTCCATCAGAGAGGCAGCAGCCGGTGACACACGGTTTAGCGCTGATTCCGTCTCTGTCACACTTCCGACAGCAGAAAACATTATTATCAAATGACCGAAGAGGACCAACTTCTGCCACAAACACAGATGGAAGGTTTATCTGTTAAAGCCTTTAAAAGCATAATTCCCTCCAAAAATGAGCTTATAAAGGTTCTGGACGGGCTGCAAAATACCGCAAACAGCTGGATGGTACATGTTAGAAGAAACGCAGGGATTTCAGTAACTCTATTTGGAAAGATTT